GGTAGTAGGTAGTAGGTAGTAGGTAGTAGGTAGTAGGTAGTAGGTAGTAGTAGGTAGTAGATGGCCAGGGACACAGGATCAGATTAATAGGGGGTAGTAGTGCAGATTATTGATGGGGGACCGGCCCTTGTGAGGGGTACCCTTTGTGAGCTTGTCAAATGATTGTTTTTAATTGTTTTTTAATAAGGCAATTTATAGGCCCTGAGCCCTAGACATTTTAAAGGATTTCATCAAACAGCAGCAGCAGTAGCAGAGCAGCAGCAGCAGCAGCAGCAGCAGCAGCAGCAATAGCTACAGCAGTAGCTAGTAGCAGTAGCAGTAGCAGTAGCAGCAGCAGCAGCAGTAGTAGTAGCAGTAGTAGTAGTAGCAGCAGCAGTAGTAGTAGCAGCAGTAGCAAGTATAATGTCAAGTCAGGATAAATAAACCTCCACTAGTTAACCCCTTATTAAAAGTAATATTATTTTTTTTGGATTGTGTAGGCTCGGATTAACTGGGGGGGTTGTTGGTAGAAAATTAGACAATAGGGGGGGAAATCAACAGCGAATAATACTTTTAATTTGGGCAATTTCCGGCGGCTTTGTGGGCTCGGATTAACTAGGGGAGGTTTATTAATCCTAACTTTGCATTACTCATAACTGCTGTAAACTGACAGAACATGTATGAATGTGGAATCAGGAATGTCATTGTACGTTGATGTCAAATAACTTCTGGATGGATCTATTCGGATCTATTTGCCGGATCTCTTTGCTCAGTTTCGTTCATGTCCAATCTTTGTTCATGTTCTGCAGGATCGCTCCGACCACCCGGGGTCTGCCGTCAGGGTCTGCCGTGCAACGGCAAGAAGCCTTCCTACGGCGCATGGCCCTACTCGATGAAAAGTCGAAGGACGGTGCCGGGGCGGCGACCAGGAGGGAAGGAGGGCTGGAGGGCGCCGCGAGGAGATTGGGCTGGATGGCAGTGGAAGATCCTCATGTCGTTGAAGACCTTGAAGGGGAAAGATGAGGTGCAAAAACCATGGAAAACCCACTTGAATAGGCCTCAGAGACCTCGCGAGAGTCGGGATTATAGAATGGTATCCTTCGGTTTACGTACTTAAGCACAAGTTGTTTGGGTAAAGTTGAGTCATGTTTTCCCCATGACAGCAGAATCGGCCATTGATGAATTGAGAATCGATTGTG